GTTTGGATTCCTTTTTGCTGTGTACGTAGCATCTTAACTGTAATATACATCAAATATATATATTTTTTTATATAACTAGTTGGATTTTTCGGGTTCTTCAATTTACATAGTTTTTTTTCCTTTGCTCTGGGGGAAGAAGGAAGGGGGAAGGGGGGGGAGGCTGCTACTAGGGTTTGGGCATTTGGCAGGGAGCCAAGTTCAAACCATCACACCAGTATATAAACTGGGGGAGTTACCCAGAAGGGGGGCTGATTGCAGTTTGGGGACAGGCCAAATATCAGTCAGTGAGTGGTGAGCAATTGTATTGTGCATCACTTGTTTCTCTTGGGTTTTCTCTCTCTCTCTCCCCCTCTATTTTTTTATTATTATTATAATTATATTTATTTTGTTTCATTTATTAAACTGTTCTTATCTCAATCCACAAGTTTTGGGTCTGGGTTTTTTCCCCGATCCTCCTCCCAAACCTACCAGGGTGGGGTGGAAGTGATCAAGTGGCTGTGTGGTACTTAGTTGCCACTTGGGGTTAAACCACGACACACAGGTAAGCCTGAGCAAGGCAGCAGAAAAGTTTAGCAGCTTTGACCTCCTCCCACACAGGACAAAAAGGTTGTTCTTCATGTTCAAACCACCTCTATCACCACATCACTGCAAGGACACTGCTCTGTGCAAACACAAATGGGCACTTCCCATGCAGCTGGAGAGCAAGAAAACAAGTGGGACCAAATATATTCAGGTACACAGCAGGACCCCTCAAGATGCAACTCCCAGGTTGTACTCCAGCCCTGATATTCTTCTAACCAGAATTACCCTGTGATGCCAGTCAGGGGCAACCTCATTGGCTCTATCTTCTCTGAGGCGGTTGAAGAAAGTAAATCCTCCTCAGGCATAAAAACAGAGAGGAGGAGAGGTAATGACACAAGCTGGAATACAGGGATTTCAAACATGAAAGAATAACCACATTATTATCTTTAGCATTAAGGTGATACAGCACCAGAAGTAGGATCAGGGAGGTTGTAGAATGTCCATTCCTGGAGATGTATCCAAAAGCATCACTGGACAAGGCCACCCTCACCATCTACCCTCAGCACCAGATTGCACTTGGGACTTCCAAAGCAAAATAGACCATTGAGAAATAATTTTAAAAAAAGGAAAGAAATTATGCTTTCACAGTGATAAAAAGAGAGAGAGAAACTGAGAAGTTCCAGTAGTATGAGGGCATAACATGACAGAAGCATTTCACCATGCAAACACTGGAAATTGGAAAAATGGAATTGTTTGTAAAGGACCTTTTCCTCCATGCAGCACAATGAGACAGCAGTCATGAAAAATTCCTCAACTGGCAAAAAGAGTAAAAATCACCCTATACAAAAATATTTCTGGCTGCATCCCCTTCATTCAATAAACAACAGCTTAGAAAAGACTTCTTATCTCCCATTGCGAAGGTTCAGAGAAAAGGGAAGCAATGAGATTTTAGAAGTTTCATCAATAAGCATTTAATGCTCAAGTGCTTAGACCCAGAGCTACCTCCTCAAATGACTTCTCGACTTGGAGAGTTCCTGAGATTCTCAAGAAATACATCATTTTACAAATCATCCAAAATGTTAAAAGAAATTATGTATTGACACAAAAACAAAGATGACAAATACACCAAAACTAAAAACAATCACAATCAATACTGGCATATTACATAAGGAAAAGAGACTTGGGCAGGAAGGGAAATTCAGTGGAACTCAACAGTCATCGGAGTTCACCCAGGAGGGAAAGGAGAAACCCCAAAAAAAACCATCAACAGCAAAACTGCCCCACATGTTGCTATCTCAACTACAGTCAACCTCCCCCCAACATGCCCCTGCCCTCTCTAAGCACAGCCACCCCATCAATGCACTTCCTCAAGACCACCACAGCCCCCAGTCAAAGCTGAAAACCACAGTAGGAAACTTGCTGCAATCAAAAAGTGAGGAAAGGAAAGCTATGACAACACATTAAGCCACTCACCTGGCAGCACACCAACATAGTACCCACCCACACTACCACCAAGACTGACCAGGCTCATCCAACCAGCACCCACAGCCCTATCATGGCTGTGCTTGCAACCCCACAGCCCTGCCTGTGCCATGGCACCCTGGTGCTCCTGCTGGGTCTCACCACCCTCATTCGTCCCTGTGACACCACCTTCCCCTGAGACAGCCTCCAGCTCTTCCAGGCCATGGCTCCCAGCATGCCACAGCCTTGCCACCACCAGCAGGCATCCTTCCTCTTCCCCAAAACCCTCCTCCACACTCTTTGGAAACTTCTACCAGGGTTTAGCCATCATCATAAGAATCATCTCTACCCTGTATCTCCTCAACATTTTTCACCTTCCATCTTGGTTTAGACCAACTAATCATTAGCTCTGGAGTCCTCAGTAAAAGGAAGACATGGACCTGTTGGAGAGAGTTGGGGTCGTTCAGCCTGGAGAAGAGAAGGCTCCAGGGGAGACTTTATTGTGGCCTTTCAACACTTGAAGGGGACTTATAAGACAGATGGAGACAGACTTTTTAATATGGCCTGTTGCAATAGGACAAGGGGTAAAGGTTTTAAACTAAAAGAGAGTAGATTCAAACTAGATATAAGGAAGACTTTTTACTATGAGGATAGTAAAACACTGGCACAGGTTGCCCAGAGAGGTCGTGGATGTCCCATCCCTGGAAACATTCAAGGCCAGGTTGGATAGGGCTCTGAGCAACCTGATCTAGTTGAAGATGTCCCTGCTCATCCCTGGGGGGTCAGACTAGATGACCTTTAAAGGTCCCTTTAAACCCGATCCATTCTATGACTACATGCAGGAGAACCACAGCAGAGATCACTTTGACTAAGCTGAATTCAGCTCCTCTTGCCACTTCAGGCACTTTTCATGACAAATGTCTCATTGTGTTGCTTGAAAACACCTTACAGGCATGAGCTATTCTAGGGCAACACAGACAAGGTCCAGCCATGGCCTCCTGCAGGGATGGCACCTAGGTATGCCAAAACACCGTGCACATGCCAGCACCTCAACACAGTACCCCCCAATACAACATTGCCTGATGAGACCATGGCTCCCAGCCTGTCACCACCACCTCACACATCTCCCCTGCTCCAAAAGCTTTGATAAAACATGTGATAAGGGCTCTCATAGAAGCAGAACATGATCCCTGCTGTTGTAGGGGACCTTAAAACTTCAGCGAAACCGCCACCTCCTTCTCTTCCTACTAGAGCTTTATAACTAGATTAGCTGGTTTAGATCCACCTCCAGAGGACTCTTGGACACCCTTCCTCTAGGGGCACAGGGGCTCAGAGCCATCCCAAACGCAAGACCATTTGTTTACAAACAACCTCATGGGGGGCATTTTCTTCTTTGCTCTCCAGATACCTCGGGCAAGGAGGCAGAGAAAGCACAAGACTCCTGCTACAGGAACACACACATGGGACCACCATAGGGGACCCAGCCCAGTAGGAGGAGGAGCAATATATATACCTGAAGGAAAAACCTTTCTTGCTCATTCTCAGGAGCTTCAAACACAGGAGCTGGGGCAGCTGTATCCAGGAACACATCCAAGTGCCTACACCCAGAGCCCCCTCCTTGGAAGCCGCCGCCGCTGCCACCCCCCCCAGGCCCTTGCTCCAGGAGGGGGTTCCTCAGTCTCTTACAAACAACACAATTTTAGAATCCTTCCAAATGTGAAAAGATCGGCTAATATGAAAACAAAGACACATAAGAGAAAGGAAAACAGACCACAACCAACACCAGGACATTACAGACAGAAAAGAGACTCGGGTAGGAAGGGGAAGTTCAACTGCAAAAAAGACTCAACCACTTCCCTGGGTAGCCTGCTCCAATGCTTGACAATCTTTTCTGTGAAGAAATTTTTCCTAATATCCATTATAAACCTCTTCTGGGGCAACTTGAGGCCCTTTCGTCTTGTCCTATTGCTTGTTACATGGGAGAAGAGACAAACACCCACCTCTCTACAACTTCCTTTCAAGTTTCTCCTAAGCTTCATTTTCTCAATGCTTAACAACACCAGTTCCCTCAGCCATGCTTCCTAAGACCAGCCATAACTGCACTAAGAAATCCACACTCCTGACTAGCATTTTCAGTATGCTTTATTTGATGAATTATAAAATAAAGTTGCCTGAGTTTGAGACAGGGTTTTGTCTGGGATATCCCTGTACTCACCTTTGAATGTCTGACTCTGGCTGTTCCAACTCCACATGAAAGACCTGGTTCTGACTTGGACCTTTATCTATGGCATTCATTCAGTAATATTTCTTTTCAGATCACTGCTCATTGCTCCATTTCTGCCTCTATAGATACACTGTATCACTTAATCCTGTGACTTTTCTCAGTAACATACTACCAAATGTTCCCTTCAAGACCCTTATTCTAGTTTTCTGAAAAAAAAAAAAAAATTTCCTTTTCCACAGTCTAGGCTGAGGCTTTTTGTGAATCTAATTCTCAGCTTCACTCACATGCCATTTACATTCTGGATCCAGGTAAAAAGGAAAACTTCATATACTCTCCCTCCTGCAGCTCACCTGCGTTTGTTGCCATGCTGCACACACAGAGATCTGCACCTATGAGTGTCTCCAAAACCTGTCAGAAGCACCTACTGGCTGCCAATTTGTGTACTTGCTGTTCAACCCTACCTCTCAGTAAAAAAAAATCAAAAAACATTGACACTTAGACTTCGACTAGATTTGACAAAATGTCATACTCTAACTAGAACAACAATTAAAAATTTCTCCACTCGGAAGCACAGAGCACATTTGCTTCTATTTGCAAATAGATGCATAATGCAACAGTTTCGCTGTATCAATTTACACCACCTAGAAAACTGTTTGTGGATAATTAAAAAAACAGAATATAGAATATAAAGATAAGCTCTTAATCACCATTAAATGAACTCATTTGCATCACACAAATGATCAACACTGAAGATATCTTTTCTAAAATGAAATAAACCAAGACATTTACTTACCATTGGCAGCCTGGGCTGAAGCATCTGGAGATCATCATAACCATAAATCTGCTTAAAGACAGATAAAAATAAAATGTCATTATAACACTTGTCTCTGATGATGATCAATTTGGAGTTCTGTTTAAACAGAGTTTGACCTAGGCCCAGTCTATTTTAAAGGTGTACAGCTATATGTTGCATTGTGCTATCATGTTCCACTGTAGCATTTTAAGGCTAGTAGAGCTAAGCTTAAAATGGTTTTTTAATCTGATGTTGTTTCCTCGTGACAGCAGTCCTCTGAGGAGTGTATTACTGTTCCATATTCAATACGGTTTTTGCAGATGCATCATTCATCAAGTTAAAAATCTACAGGACATTCAGATTTGGGAGTAAGAGAAATGACCTTCTTTGCTGTAATCCTTACATAGATTTGATGACTAGACCACAAAGCAACCCTTGCATTTGGTGTGATATAGAAAAATTATAAGAATAAAGTTTCTGATTCAAAAAACAGATAACCAAAAATATGTTGATCCTGATCAGACACCAAAAACCTATGTGCAATCTTTCAAAGTATGACAGACAGGACACATGGCACATTTCAACCATTACTTTGTGATATCTATTACTATTACATCACTATGTGTCTTGGTTTACTGACATGTTCCAGGAGGCGGGACCTCCAATGGAATACCCCCTCCCCCTTGAATTATGAATGTCTTTGAAATTACGAGGCATTCAAGTGAAGTATGAAAATTAATAACAGTTTTACTAAAAAAGGAGAACAAAAAAGAACAAAACAAAAAAACCCAAACAATAACAGAAAAGAATGTCACCTAAAACCACTCTTTCAGTATATACTGCCAAGAGGGCAATGCAGTCCCAACAGAGGTCATGTGTGGAGGTGAGGGGGGGGAAGTACTGGTGGGGGGGAAGTACTGGTGTGAAGAGCGGCGCTGGCAGTGCAGGACGAGCAGTGGCAGTGGGCAGTAGTGACAGCTGCAAGCAACGCTACTCCAAAGCAGAAGCAGTGGCAGCAGTGGCAGCAGTGGCAGGGACAGCTGCTGTGGTAGAGGGAGCATGGCTCAAAGGCGCAGCCCAGCCGAACAGAAACAGCAGCATCAAGGTGGGAAAAATGACCAGAGACCAGAACCACAATGAGAAAGAGAGCAACCCCCACCAGAACCAGAGAGAATGTGTTCCGGTCCTGCTAGCAACTTTATCCTATTAAGTCCTCGCCGTATTTCTTGATGGGACCCTTCATCCCTCCCCGCCTCCAGTCTGGTAAGGGGAAGAGAGGGGAGATGTCCCCTGCGCTCTCCAAAAAAACCACGTGATTATATGAAAAAATTCAACAAGAAAATCTTCGTTTAGCTAAACCATAACATTATCCAATGCAATTTTTTTCATACCATCATGTTATATCAAATTTGAACCTTCCTAACTATACACATACACACATTATTCCACTTATATACACATTTACAAATATATACACATACAGGCAAAATGTTATGGACAGTTTACCCAAAAATTGGGTCCTCTCAAGGAAGTATACATCGTGTTTCTCCATCTTTCTTTATCACCCACCATGTGCAACCCAGCCCTTGAGCAAAACCAATCCTAAAATTGGGTTTGCTTTTGCTTGGGGTGGGACTAAACCAAACCATTTTCCCTAACATATCTCTCAGGTGCACTATGGGAACTTTATCTCCCTCTACGTTATGAAGGGGCTCTGATTGGGCAGGGCTGACTCGGTTGACAGAGACTCTAGCTTTGACTAACCACGTAGCCTTTGCTAAATGCTGATGCCAGTGCTTGAAAGTCTCCCTGGCTAATGCCTTCAAAGTGGTTTTCAACAGTCCATTACACTGTTCAATCTTCCCAATAGCTGGTCCATTACAGAAATACAATATATCCACTCAGTACCCTGCTCTTTAGCCCAGGTGGTGACTAGGCTGTTCTTGAAACGAGTCCCATTATCTGACTCAATTCATTCTGGGGTGCCATATCACCACAGGACTTGATTTTCAAGGCTCAGGATCATGTTCTAGCAGTGGCTTGAGGCACAGAGTATGTTTCCAGCAATCCGGTGGTTGCTTCCACCATGCTGAGCACATATAGCTTACCTTGGCGAGTTTGTGGCAGTGTGATATAATCAGTCTAGCAGGCCTCCAAATATCTATACTTGGTCCATCGCCCACCATACCACAGGGGCTTTACTTTCTTAGCCCGCTTGATTGCAGTGCATGTTTCACAGCCATGGATAACCTGGGAAATGGTATCCATGGCATCCACCCCTTGGTCTTGCACCCACCTAGAGGTGGCATCTCTTCCCTGATGACCTGAGGCATCATGGGCCCATTGAGCTAGGAACAACTCTCTCTTCTCCTGCCAATAAAGGTCTAACTGTGACACTTTGACTTTGACTTGGGCAGCTCAGTGTGCCTGTTCTTCATTTGCTCGGCTTTTGGGCACATGTGCGTGTACACAGCAGACTTTCACAATCAGCTTCTCTGCCTGGGCCACATTTCAGAAGCCCAGATGGGTTTCCCTTTACGTTGCCAATTTCCCTTCCTCCATCTCTCCAGCCACCCCCACAGAGCATTGGCCACCATCCACAAGTCAGTGTAGAAGTCTTGGTCACTTCTCTTGTTCAGCAATATCCAAAGCCAGCTGGATGGCTCTGAGCTCCTTGACTTGATCCACCTTTTCCTTCCATGGCTTTTGATACTTGTCATGTGGGGCTCCATACATCTGCTTTCCATTTCCAGTTCATCCCTATAATGCAACAGCAATCATCAGTGAAAAGAGTGTAGAGCTTTTTATCCTCTGTCAGTTGATTGTATGGTGGAGTTTCCTCAGCATGTGCCACCTGTTCTTATTCCTCTTCATCTGCCAGACCAAAATTCTCACAGACCAATTTGTAATTATCTCCAAGATCCCAGGGTGATTAGGGTTCCTGATTCTGGCACGCTGCATGATCAAGGCAATCCACTTACTCCATGTAGTGTCAGTGGCATGATGCCTGGAAGGAGCCTTTCCCTTGAACATGCACCGCAGCACTGGCAGTCGGGGTGCCAGAAGCTGTGTTTGCATGCCAATCACCTCTGAAGTGGCTTGAACTCCTTCATAGGCTGCTAGAATCTCCTTCTCTGTTGGAGTGTAGTTGGCCTCAGACCCTCTGTAGCTTTGGCTCCAGAATCCAAGTGGTCTCCCCAGGCACCTTCTGCCAGAGGCTCCAGGAAGGACCATTTTCCCCAGCTCCAGAGTAGAGCACGTTCTTCACCTCTGGTCCTGTCCTGACCGTTTCAAGGGCTAGAGCATCAGTGATCTCCTGTTTCATCTGTTTAAAGGCTTGTTGCTGTTTCGATCACACTGGAAAATGTTCTTTTTGCATGTTACAAGTAGAGAGGACTTACAATCTGGCTGTATTCTGGGATGTGCATCCTCCAGAAACCTATGGTGCCTTGGAAAGCTTGCATTTCCTTCTTGCTGGCCACTGGAGACATTGCTGTAAGCTTGTTGATGACTTCTGTCAGGATCTGATGGTGTCCATCCTGCCACTTCACTCCCAGGAAAAGGATTTCTCAGGCAGGTCCCTTGACCTTAATCTGTTTGATGGCAAATGCGGCTCCCAGGAGAATCTGGATGATCTTCTCTCCTTTCTTAAAGACTTCTTCTGCTGTGTTCCCCCATACAATGATACCAATGTATTACAGATGTTCGGGAGCCTCACCTTTCTCTAGTGCAGCCTGGATCAGTCCGTGGAAGATGGTGGGTTTCCATCCCTGGGACAGTCAGTTCCAGGTGTACTACATGCCCCCTTTCAGGTGAAAGCAAACTGTGGTCAGCACTCTCCTGCCAAAGGAATGGAGAAAACGCATTAGCAATGCCAATGATGACACCACTTTGCAGCCTTAGACTCCAGTTCATACTGAAGTTCCAGCACGTCTGCCACAGTGGCACTCAGCGATGGGGTAACTTCATTCAAGCCATGATAGCCCACTGTCAGTCTCCATTCTCCACTGGGCTTAGGCATGGGCCAAAGGGGTCTGTTGAAGAGTGAATGAGTCTTGCTGACCACTCCTTGGCTCTCCAGCTCACAGATCATCTTACGGATGGGGATCATGGAGTCTCGGTTTGTGTGATATTGCTGACAATGCACTGTTGCAGTGGTGATTGGCACCTGCTGTTCTTCAACCTTTAGCAGTCCCACAACAGAAGGATTCTCTGAGAGGCCAGGTAATGCATTCAACTTTTTAATCCCTTCTGTCTCTACAGCAGCTATCCCAAAAACCCACCAATTTCCTTTTGGATCTTTGAAATACCCATTCTTTAGGCAATCGATATCCAGGATCCATGGGGTATCTGGACCAGTCACAATGGGCTGTCTTTGCTACTCCTTCCCCATCAAGTTCATTTCAGTTTCCACCACTGTCAGCCCTTGAGAACTCCCTGTCACTCCAGCAATTGAAATAGACTCCACCCCCACATGCCCTGATGGCATTAGAGTGCATTGTGCACCAGTGTCAACCAAAGCTTTGCATTCTCGTGGGTCTCATGTGCCAGGCCATCAGATCCACACAGTCCAATAGACACAGTTATCCTGTACCTCTACCTGGTTAGAGGCAGGGCCCCTCTTATGCTGGTCTTGGTAATTGTGGCTTTCTCCCTGTGAGTACATACGGGAGGTGCCTTCTAAGGGATCAGACATGTTACAGTTCCTCTGGTTCTGTCTAGGGGCTTGCCCGTGGGAGACGGGCTACATCCATCCTCATGGAATTGCCTCTGGTCATTTTCCGTAGGAAAAACCACAGGTGTGGTGTACCCCCTCTCCCTTGCCAGGGGACACCTGTTTCAGATAGCAGGGGCCCCAGTTTGCACTGGTGAGACACATGGACAATGCTCTCTCTAAACTCCTCTCTGAGATTTTTGTGGTCATTTTTTACTTCCTCAGTCAGTGCCCAGAGGTCCACAACTAATTTCTCTAGAGAAGAGATAGGGGACCACAACGGGGCATGGACAATCTCATTATATGTCCTGATTTTACTCAAGATAGAGCCCACTGTTTCTTGGTTTTCCTTCCAGTGCATTGTCACTAGGAAATTAGCATATATGGGTGGCCCTGAGTGTCCAAGGTTCTACCACATCTGTGATGTACACTTGACCTCATCAGGGTCTCTATTGGGTTGCCTGTCCCTTGCAAAAAGTATCTTCTAACAGTGCCATTTCTCTCAGGTGTCGGATCCCATCTTCCATGATCTCCCAGGTGCGATGATGATGCCCCTGCAGGTCGTCTCTGTAAGAAAACCTCTCTCTTATGCTTCTTGAAAGCTGTGCCCAGAGATGAAGGACTTCTGACTCCCTTACAAACCCCTGGTTAATACCATCATCCTGAGACAGGGATCCTAAATACCTTGCTTTGGTACCATCAAGCAGCGCAACTTCACCCATAAGATCCCAGACTCAAATCAAACAGGTCAGAAGGGGTTCATCCAGTCATTGAGTGATGTCTTTCCTCAGGTTGTGGAGATTATCAAATGAAAGGGATTTGGTGATTATTTCTGACTCTGGGTCTGTTATTTGTGAGGGTCTTACCTCCCCATCATTGTCTACCGGGCGAACTGATTTGGTCTTATATTTTCTCTTTTGGATAGGGACAACTTCTATTGGCTGGGGTTGTCCCTCTGGTTTTGTTAGACTCTGAGTTGCCATGGTGTCAAGTGTTTTGTTCCCTTTCTTTTCCTCCTGGAGGTGCTGCACCATGTTGAGCAGCTTTCGGTAGGCAGTGGCGAGGACTCCACATGCAACCACAAGCTGTCTCTCCATAGATCTACCGTGGCACTTTTCCCTCACCGATCTCATCACCTTGACAGGGTCCTGCAGTTGTTCAAGGGTGAACTTCCAGGTCATTGGAGCAGAAACATTCTCCAAGAACTTACCCATGTCCTCCCACAACCCATGCCACTCAAAACTGTCCACTCCTGGGGTGGGCTTCTGGGCACATTCCTGATAGATCTTGGTCCTACCTTCTTAAAGAAGAAAAAGCATCATAATGCAAACTGCCAAACATACAAAGAGTAAGGTATCTCTAACATCTAGAGAGAATTTAAACTCTTCACAAACTGTTGAGGCAGACCTGAAGGAGAAATGGGTGAAGAATTGGGAGAAAACATTCCCCTGCGTTCCTCCTCCAGATTGGGTGCCATTATCACTAAGCCTACAGGGATAACAGCTTAGGTTAGGGTAGGAAATCAACCCTGAAAATACATTCCAAAGGAGACTTATAGGCATTGAATTTACAACCCCACGAATCCAAGTTACAAACTTAAAAATAGCCACAGTGACCTTGGTTTTAGAATCCATTTTGAGATAAACACCTATGAATGGGAAATACATACGCAGGAATACATGCCAAATAAACAGGAATAAATCAAATAACATGATGCCTGAGCGGTTCTATATCCAATACAGAAATGAATTATTCAAAATAGTTATTCTTTTTCCACTTTTTCACGCATTGTCTCATGTTGTCTTGCTTTACTGACGATATGTCTCAGGAGGCGGGACCTATGATGGAATAAAAACACCCCCCCTCCAAAATGACAATTTTTTTTTTAAATTACAAAGCATTCAAGTGAAGTATGAAAATTAATAACAGTTTTACTAAAAATGGAGAACAAAACAGAACAAAAGAAAAAAACAAACAATAACAGAAAAGAATGTCACCTACAACCACTATTTCAGTGTATGCCACTGAGACGGCAGTTCAGTCCTGATGGAGGTCATGTTCAGACCTGGGGGGAAAAAAACTGGTGTGCAAAGTGGTGCCAGTGGTGCTACTCCAAGGCAGTAGGGGCAGCAGTAGTAGCAGCAGTGGTCAGCAGAGGCAGGGAGTGCGAAGTGGCGGTGATAGTGGGCAAGCGGCGCTACTCCAGGGCAGTAACAGCAGCAGCAGCAGCAGGGACGGTTGCAGTGGCTTCGAGCAGCGGGGAGGCACCAGGGATGGTTGCTGTGGCACAGTTCTGGGTGGTAGGGATGATTGCCCCAACTTCAAGCAGAGGGGAGGCTGCAGGGATGGCTGCTGCGGCACAGGCAGCGTGGCTCGAAGGTGCAGCCCAGCCAAGCAGCAACAGTAGCAGCGAGGTGGGGAAACTGGCCAGAGACCAGAACCACAATGAGAGACAGAGAGGATCTCGACTGCACTTTTGCCCTCTGGAACCTGAGTGAGCGTGTTCTGGTCCTGTTAGCAAGTTTATCCTATTAAGTTCTGGCCATATTTCCTGTCAGGACCTTTCATCCCTCCCTGCCCCCACCGGTTCATAGGGGAAGAGAGGGGAGGTGTCCCCTTGCGCTCTCCAAAACCATGTGATGATATGAAAAATTAAACAAGAAAATCTTCATGCAGCTAAACCATAACACTATGCAATACTATCTATTCCAGTAACACAAACCTAAATGGGTTTAATTTTATTCAAAGGGCCTAAACCTGATAACGTTGAAAACCATAGCAACATGCATGTTTATCTTCAAGAGGAGCCAGATCAGGTCTGTATCAACAGTTACAGTTTACTACCAACAGTAAACTCTCACTGAATACATTTCACATTCTTCAGTGTTTGGAACAAGAATTCCAGGTACAACATATGCCAACAGAAATGCCTTGGCATAGACAGCAGGAGGTCTGGAGGGCCCACTTGCACCATGGCTTAAGCAATCAAGGACAAACAATTAAATTGCTTACTGGGTAGGCAGGTAGAAGTCCTCCAGGTCCCACAATATACTGGTTATGCAATAAAGGTGGTACACCTTGAGGCAGATTTTGGGGAGCTTTGCCTGTAGAATCAAAATGCAGACACTTTATTAAGTCTTTAGAAAAGAAAAGGCTTCAGTATTGAGACAAGATAGTTCATGAGTCCTGGCAGTTGCACTGTCTTAGCTTGTAAAGAGCAGAACTATGCAGAAGAATTTTGTGCTGATTGATGAAAACACTCAAAATAGCCTGGAGAGTTTACCCATGCCTCAAGGAAGGGAAAGCACAGGCTACTTAAGACTGAAAACAGTCCCATCAGAAAACAATCTGATTTTGTTATTTACTCTGTCCAAGAGAATTACAAGAATTACAGGAACTTCTCCTTTCCTTGGTCATATCATGAAGGTAAAATTCAGGCATTGTTCTCAGTCTAAGAACAAATTATCTCCTTTCATTTTCTATTCTGTCAACACTGCAATAGACTGAAAAGTACTAAATGTTGCCAGCATACTTTTTGTGGGTGACTTACTGCAGCTGGGAATAGCAAAGAGGAGATTGAAGTGGTTTCAGTTGCCTACGTGAAGGAGTGCTAGGAAGCAGAAGATTAAAAAAAAAAAGCACTTCGACCAGTCATCAGACACTTTATTTACAAGCTATGGAAATGAGAAATTCTTCAGTAAGTGTCATCTTAATATTTAAATCATTTGCTTCCCTCCATAGGATTTCCTTTTAGCAGTTCAAGCTGATTAGAGAAGAAAAAGAATTTAGCATTGCTTTCACTTCAGTGTAGGAAGCCTCCCAACCTTCTCTGTGGTTCTTTTTTCTGAAGTGCTACTTTCTGTGGAATGACACAGACATCACACCTTTTTCCTTTCTCTAGATATGGCAGTAGGGATGTGGCATATCATAATAAGGACAATGCAGTATATTTTGATACTGCCAAATGAATTCAAGTCACAGAGAAGACTGAAATTAAAGCTAATGTGAACTCACAGCCAAGAGTTGGAATACAAAAAGGGTGAATCTCCTAGTCCAAAACTTCCAAAGTCAGAACTGCTCTGGTTTCTATTTATAAAGCTCTTTGGGGATGGAATATGCTACACAAATGTCACATAACATCCTAAAAAATATTTCAAATACACAAACCCAAGCAACCTTATTTTATAACCCAGCAAAGAAAGCATGCAGAAAATGCTAGTCAAGAGAGGATTTCTTAGCGTAGCTATGGCTGACAAGATGCTCAACTGACAGCCCTGTTGACTGAAGTCCTCTGTCTATCCACATCATCTGTTAATATTGCAAACCTGAAGACACTAAGGGAGCTGCTCGTGTGGTAGCAGACACACTGGTAACACTCAGGCCAAGGCTGCTTGTAGTGTTCATACTGCTTGCCATGCTGACAACCGAGGAGGTGGTGCTAGTGGCTGAGGTTGCAGCAGTTGAAAAGGTTGCTGAAGGCTGGAGTAAAGTTGTGTTCTCAACACTAGTGTGCTAGAAAGGAGACAAAAAGAATGAGGATCACAGAGTAAATGAGGCACAGTGAAAGATGCTGGGGGGAGGGAACAAAACTAAAAATCAAAACCAACAATCTTTTAAGTAACAGCAGCACATGTAAAAAATAATGCATTATCTATGTACAAGGAGAGCAAATAAGTTGTATAATTGTGATTTTTAAGTATTCAAAGAAAATTATTACATAAGAGTTAAATTCAAACAGCTGTATTATCACAAAATTATACCACAGTAACTCAAATGTCACTCCATTTCATTATTTCTTGTCCTTTTGGCTTGTATACTCCTTTAAGCTAGTAATAATGGCCAGTCTTCGTGAGCGAAGATCCGGGGAAGGTCTTTACACCTTCCAGCCTGTGCATTGGATTTTTTAGGTGAGACACAGTGTGCGCGGAACTGAGCCCACCCTTTAATCCTAAGGTTCATCTGCCGGGGCCAAGCGAGCTTGGACGGTGGCAGCGAGGTCCTCAGGACGTAGATGGGTTGCCTTTCAGGGCTAACGAGCTCCATCTGCCCGGGGAGTGTCCCTGACTGGGAATCGAACCCGGGCCTCGGCGGTGACAGCGCCGCGCCCTTAACCACTAGACCACCAGGGGTTCCTTTAAGCTAGTATTTGTTTTGTTAAATAAACTCCTATATTCTTCCAAAACACAGTATTTGTTTTCAAAATACAGGACACTGCTATTGTGATTTCCTCAATGTATTTGTGGAATTTAAAAGATTTAAACTGCAATGCCCCACAACAGAGTCAATGTGGTAAACTGAAACGCAGACCAAATGTATTACAGGAACACATGAGGATAAAAGAGTTCCTGATTTGAATCCACCACAATACAGTGCCTTAGCTGTAAGCTGATCACATCTGCAAAACAGTGTCCTCAACACACAGAAGCCAAAAAGAACTCTGAAAACAGAGAAGAAGGACATTTGGATAAGGGTGATTTTTAAAGTTACATATACAGCAGGGATGGAGCATTACCAAAATTCAAGAATAAAGAAAAGCAGTAATCTATCTGCACACCCCAATTGGGATTGTACAGACAGAACAAAGCAGCGTCTCTCTGACTTTCATTTGTGCAACTTCATCTACAGCACTGTGCTCACTACCATTTGTCTTGTTATCTCTAATGCCTTAAAGTCACAGGTGACAACAATGTCACATGGAAAACTCTAAAATCATCTGTCCTGAGGCATTTGTCATGACATGCATCATGCCATCACCTGCATTTTGCCAGCTAACCTCTCCAGTGGAGACTGCTAACAGTCCACATTTTAGAGCAGTTTCAGACAGCCACTTTTAAAGTTTTATTTGTTTTCTTAAACACATTTGTTATAAGAAATTTTTTCTTTATTCCATTCCCCCTTGCTGGCACAAAAAATTTCTCTACAGTTGTGTGACTGGCAAGTCTCTGTAATAGCTCTTCCTGATCTAGTACAAATCACAAGTGGTAAAGACTTTTTTGCCACTAGAGAGCTGGCAGTCCTCCTTCCCCGAGATAAAGCTTGTTTCAGTTCTTAGCATAGTAGGACACACTGAACTAAGAGAGGGTCTTAATCATCAGATAAACTGACTATATGCCAAACATCTGTGGAAATGCAAATAGGACTTACCACATGTGATGTACTTGAAGACAACACTGAGGCAGGGGAGAGGCTACTCTGATGATTTGAAAGGGAGCTAGAAAGAATTTACTAAGAGTTATTAAAATTATTTTTTCCTAAAACATTTTAAATATATATCTATGTATATACACACACATATATATATACAAACATGGAGTAGGTAGCAGAATATTAAAGAATAAAAATTGTAGGTATGTGTATACACATACACACATAGTAGAATATTAAAGAAAAAATTGTAGGAGTGTGTGTATATATGCACATATATATATGTGTGTATATATTCACACACCCCTACAGATATATTTCCTTTAACTAATATCCTACTACCATTTAATGAAAAAAACAAAATATAGAGACAACTATTTCTATCTGTCCAACAGCATCGATCCTCCAACTAAAATTTCTAACAATGTACACAGCTTTTCAACAAACAAATGTCAGGAGAAGATGTTTTCAATGTGAATGGATTAATTCTTGTTATTTGACACATTTCCCATTGTATTCAACAGAAAACACTAGTGTATTAAGAGACCATGTCCTAGCTGTGAAACACAAAAAACACTGTGATAGTCCATAAAATAAGTTTCTTATATTAACAAATACAGTATAAAGGTGAGTATTAAAACATAACCAGTACAGCCTCAGGATGTCACCTGCCCAAGGACAAAGCTCAAGTAACAGGCACTGAAAAATCAGACAGTGCTAATGAGCTAAGCTGTGCTAAATGCACTTCCAGGAACACCAATCTGATATTTCAAAGTGTCTTAAGGAAATATCTTAGAAAAAGACACACACTTTGGCCTATGAAATTATTTCTATTTTTTAATTTTAAGAAATACAAATATAAATGAAAATACAATATTTCAAAATTAGTCAGGAAGTAAATTGTTAGGGAATTATTTCAAACATACGACAGTAAACAAAGAGTAGGCACTGCAGGCAAAGTAGGAAAAACAAACTGAATTTAGCTGACATTATTGAAGCAAGAGCCCCTTGAAACACAAAGCTGTTTATATACCATGAAAACTTGAGGGCAGCATAAAGAGGCAGCCCAGAGCTCATACCTTGCAACCAGAAAAATCCTGGTCTCTTTTGAATCTCTCTCCTAATTCTAGTTAACGTCAGAAAAGGAGACCCTTGTGCCTGATAGCCCCATACGCAATCACCCTTACATCTGTCCTTTCCCCACAACTGAACCCCTTTCAGTTTATCACAACTCCTACTGTACCTGCTTAACTGGGAGAGCGAGCTGCTGGCCAGATCACTGGACTGAGGCAAACTGCACAACGTTGCTGCATGCTGCGATGCTGAAGGCAGAAGCGAAACAGTGGTGGACACCATGCTGGGCAGAGAACCAGCAGAAGGTAGCGAGGGAGAAGGCTCTGTCTTAAACGTAGGAACTGCTGAAGTAGCTGCAACAAGTTAAAAAGAGACATTGAAAGACAAATTCCAGCATACTTGACATCCCAGCCTGGATCCAGGAACACAACAGTGTTATCCCCTTGATTTAAAAAACCCTGACCATTAAGAACCAGTAACAGAATCAAGAATCAGGCTATTAATGAAAATTCAAACAGCAACAGAACTATAATTTTTTCCCTTTAAGCTCTTCACCTACAATAGATTTCTAATTTTGAATGCTACATGTGTAGCAAACTACAACCTTCTGCACTTCACCTCCCACTATCTGGATTACTAACTTTTCCTCACAAGTCAATCCTTATTTTAAAATTCCTAGCATTTGGTTCCACAAACAGAAGTAATTTGTGCTGTACAAATCTACTTTTACCTATAGCTCTGATTTTTCATTGCAAACAACACAGCACCTTTGATGTCTGAGACTTGGATTACTGGACTACAAAGGCACATACAATTTACCAGTTTGGAGAAATAAGTCAAATGTGTAATGCAGTAGAATAAAAGAAACTATGATAAAAGGCCACAAAAGAGCACAGCATTAAACACTTTTAAAGGCCAAAGAGTTGTTAATCTTTCTCTAAATTAATTTGACCTAGATAATAAAAAGATTTTAGCTTAAATATTGATGTTTTGGCTACACAGACTAGAACTTGTTTGCCAGGGATGTGCCTTTCCTAAGGATCACTATACTGTAATAAGACATTGAACAACTCTTCTGCCCAACAGAACACCAAGCTGTTTCTACATTTATCTCTTGTTCTCTGAAGATAGTCCACAGAATTAGAGGCACTCACTCACCAATATAAGTCAGAGAGAGTAGAACCCTGCCTTCTGCTGGGCCATGCTTCCATACCACATTAGAGACCACTACACAGTGGATCATCACTAGCTTGCAATGCATGTGAAGACAGAATGATCACAAAAGTCAGATATACACTTGGAAGGTACACATCCAGAAGGAAAAGGGAAACCTGGTTATCCAGGACATGGAGAAGGCTGAGGTACTCAATGACGTTTTTGCTTCAGTCTTCACCAGCAAGTGTTCCAGCCACACCGACCAAGTTGCAGAAGGCAAAGGTAGGGACTGGAAAAATGAGGAACTGCCTGCTCGAGAAGATCAGGTTGGAGACCATTTAAGGAACCTGTAGGTGCACAAGTTTATGTGCACTGGAAAAGGGGAAATATAACTCCCATTTTTAAAAGGGGAAATAAGGAAGATCTGGGAACCTATAGGTCGGTCAGTCTCACCTCTGTTCCTGGCAAGACCATGGAGCAGATCCTCCTGGAAACTATGCTAAGGCACAAGGAAAATAAAGAGGTGATGGGTGACAGCCAACATGGTTTCGCTAAGGGCAAATCATGCCTGACAAATTTGGTTGACAGGATTTACAGATGTGGTGGATGAGGAAAGAGCGACTGACGTCACACACCTGGACTCATGCAAAGCATTTGACAGTCCGACATGACATCCTTGTCTCTAAACTGGAGAGACAAGGATTTGATAGGTGCACCACTCAGTGGATAAGGAATTGGCTGGATGGTCACACTCAGAGTTGCAGTCAAGGGCTCAGTGTCCAAGTGGAGACCAGTGACGGGTGGTGTTCCTCAGGGGTCAGTATTGGGACTGGTGCTGTTTAACATCTTTGTCGATGACATGGACAGTGGGATTGAGTGCACCCTCAGCAGGTTTCCTGATGAGACCAAGCTATGTGCTGCAGCTGACACACTGGGGGGAAGATATGCCATCCAGAGGGACCTTGACAGGTGGGCCTGTGCAAACCTCATGAAGTTCAACAGGGCCAAGTGCAAAGTCCTGCACCTGGGTCATGGCAATCCCAAGCACAAGTACAGGTTGAGTGGAGAATGAATTGAGAGAAGCCCTGGGGAGAAAGACCTGGGGGTGATGGTTGATGAAAAAATGAATATAAGCCAGCAATGTACAATTGCAGCCTAGAAAGCCAAGTGTATTCCGGGCCGCATCAAAAGCAGTGTGGCCAACAGGTTGAGGGAGGTGATTCTACCTCTCTACTCTGCTCTCCTGAGACCCTACCTGGAGTACTCTGTCCAGCTCTGGGGCTGCCAACATAAGAAAGTTGTGGACCTGATGGAGCGTGTCCAGAGTAGGGACAAGAAGATGATCAGAGGGCTGGAGCATCTCTCCTGTGAAGACAGGCTAAGAGAATTGGGATTGTTCATCCTGGAGAAGAGAAAGCTCCAGAGAGACCTTGTAGCAGCCTTCCAGTACCCGAAGGAGGCCTACAAGAGAGCTGGAGAGGGACTTTTTACAAGGACATGTAGAGATAGGACAAAGGGGAATGGCTTTAAACTGAAGGAGAGTAGGTTTAGGTTAGCTATTAGGAAGAAACTCTTCCCTGTGAGGGTGGTAAGGCACTGGCACTGGTTGCCCAGAGAATCTGTGGAGGCCAGGCTGGATGGGGCTTTGAGCAACCTGGTCTAGTGGAAGGTGTCTCTGTCCACACCAGGGGGCTTGGAACAATATGATCTTTAAGGTCCCTTCCAAACCATTCTATGATTCTATGAACTAAGAAATTTATCAGCACATACAGAAGTGAAAATGTCAAAGAAGACATTGTTAAGACAATGTTAAGAGGAGACAATTGCAAAATAGTTTGCATGCATGAAATAGTTACATGGAATAAGACTGATTCCAGTTTATGTGCTTGAGATACAGAAAAAAAAAAAAGTGTTCTCAAAGAGGAACTGGCACAGAAAAAGGGACTAATAAAGCAATTAAAGAATAATTACAAAAATATTAGGAATTCTCAGATCTTTGTGTTCCATAGCAAAAAGACAAGTCCTGTAGTGAATTTCATAAATTGTTTATTAATTCTGTACACAAGATTAAGAAAGTTTTTCACTTGAAAAGTTGTTTTTATATATAACAATCTTTCAAGTGGTAACTCTTTGGGCATATACAATTCTCCTGCTCATTTAAATTGAAGTCAGCCCTTTGTTTATAGGTTGGAATGCTCAACTTCTTTCTACTCAGAAGTATATAAAAAAAGGCTGCCCTACTAATGAGGTACCTGAAGAGATGCTTAAGAGAAAGATAGACGAAATTGAAGTGCTGGAATTCCAAAAGATGTTAATTCACACTGCAGCCCTTGAAAACTTCCACAGAGCAGAACATAAAGGTCAGAAGATTGAATACTATAATTTAATTATTTTAACTCCAGAAAAAGAACTATAGGGGTGGTACAAATAAAATACCTCATTAGAAACTGGCCAAGATGAAGATAACAGTTGATATCTGAGTTCTGAGATGTAACAAGAACTAATAGTTTCTGCAGCAGAATGTACCATAGAAACTCCATATAGTTGAGCCAAGTGATTTAAAGGGACTAACCAAGCAAAGAAACAATGAAGGGAACTGCGGCAGCAGCCAAGCAACACCCAGTTCCTCTCCAACCACGTGTATTGTCTAAAAGAAGTTCATCAGGTAGTCACTTAGAACTTTGGGAACTCCAGACATAAACAACCACTGAAGACACCCAATGAAGCCCCTCAGAGACCTTATAAGGATATGTATATATGATAATAAGAGTCAGTAAACGTCATGAATATGTAACAGGAATGCGGGGAACGAAAAATGTATAATCATGTAATGCTGACATACAAGCTGTAGTGGATATACCTCTCTGTGTGCACTTTGGAAAACTGATGACGAGGGCACCCAGAGTCCTGTGACCATGCAGTATGTTGTAATAAAGAATGCCTGGTTTCTAAAACTCACAAATTGAGTCTTAGAGGTTTCTTTAAGAGCTGATTTTAGGACATAAAGTAATGCCTGTATCAGAGCCAGTACTGTGTTATTTTTACTCCACTGCAAGGCAGCAAGGTACCTGACAGAGCTTCTAACAGGGCACAAGTAACACTATACCCAGTGAGAGCTGCATTCAGACTATGTGACTTCGTGTCATTACAGCTCAATGATACTCAGAGTTTCCCAACTGAGAATTGAAAGAATTACTAAGAAATTTGATATTAATTTTTAATTCAATAATTTTTTAATTTTATATTAATTTTTTGCAAATAAATTCAAAAGAAAAAACAACAGCAAAGCAGCTTCTTTAACTCTAAGACTGCTTACATTTATAGATTTAATAGAGCTGTGTTCATACTTTAGTCAAGCAGCAAATAGTATATCCTATGCAAATACAAAATAAACTCAAAATAGTCAGTCAAAAGAAGAGACCAAAAAAATAGCCAGTGAGAACAATATAAAACCTTAAACCAGAAGTGACTACTATAGTTGTGCGCACAGCAAGTATTAAGATCAGAAAGCCCTGTGCACAACCAAGTTTTGTAAACTTACTGTCAAGAGTTGCCTGTGTTCTAACACTGCTGTGCCCATTCTGTAAACAAACAAGAAATGGATGAATAAATTATCCTACGGGTACATTAAATTTTCAGACCAAATGACACACAGAGCATGCTTCATGCAAAATTCTATATTCAATTCAAAACTGAAAGACCAAAAAGACAGAAAATTAACTTTTTTTACAGCCTTTAACAAAACCACATAATAAAGTTGTCTCAAGTGCAAGGTGTCCTGAACATACAGAATCTCATACACTGCCCATAATACACCCATCAGCAGGACACCATCCCATGTACCGTATATAACATAAACTTCAGGTTCACACCAATATGAAAGAAAGAATTGCATTATATAGGAAATGGTTGTGCTTTTGACAAAATGCAACTCACAATTTTAACTATCCAAGTTACACAGAAACACTAATTTTTTCGATTGAAAGATAAGACTTGAGAGGCACCAGTTGTTGTTTGGATAACGTTGGAGTAAAATATAATGGCCAGTCTTCGCGAGCGAAGATCCAGGGAAGGTCTTTTACACTTTCCAGCCTGCACATTGGATTTTTTAGGTGAGACACAGTGTGCGCGGAACTGAGCCCACCCTTTAATCCTAAGGTTCATCTGCCGGGGCCAAGCGAGCTTGGACGGTGGCAGTGAGGTCCTTAGGACGTAGGTGGGTTGCCTTTAAGGGCTAACGAGCCCCACCTGCCCGGGAGTTGCCCTGACCGGGAATCGAACCCGGGTCTCGGCGGTGATAGCGCCGCGCCTTTACCACTAGACCACCAGGGGCTCCAACGTTGGAGTACAGAAGTAGATAGTCTATGCTTGATCCTCACCAGTACATACAAGCTAGTGCAGAAGACAAGTGTGACTGAACCATTACATAACAAAGGCCAGGAGTAAATAAACTTAGAAACTCTCACAAGTTCCTTAAATATTTGATAAATTAAATTCTCTTAAAACAAACCTACATTCCATATACAAATAGAGTAGGTGCTTTTGAATACTCCTGAGACTCTTTCTGTCCTAGATTAAATCTCTCCCTATGCTTTTTAAAATAAAAGATTGAACTAATTCCCACTGCTGTTTAAATCCAACAAAAGAGTAATGCTGGAAGGGTCACAAACAGTTTGGAATCCATTTTCTAGGTGCCATATTAATTTAATAAATAATATGCCTTTGGGTAGAAACTGTCAAGTTATGGCAAAATACCATGACTAATATTTTACATGCAGAGATAGTTTCTCTTTTAAAAACTAAGCTTCAGGGAAGGAAACTCAACTAGAATGTTAGTGTTATAAATGTCAAACAGGAATTCAAGACATCAAAACCCATAAAAGCAGAGGCTCTTATATACCAAATACAAAAAATGGCTACACAATAGGAAAAGAAAAAACAACAAGTGGACTTGGGAATCAAAAAATACCACTTGCCTTGGTTAAAATATTACTATACCTGAGTAATACAAGTTTAATATGGATAAGAATATTTCCTCTTTTTCAAAGTCTTATTTCTGAAATTCACTCACCATATCTGCAACAGGGGTTGGTTCAGATGGAGCCATGGAGCTTTGGTATGCTATCCTACTATGCACAGAAGCCTCGTCATAGGAGGAAGTTGTTACTGGGCTAGTGCTCTGGGATGAGCAGGTCAGACTGGAAGAGCTGATGGCAGAGGTTGTCTGGGTGGACTCTTGTACTGTATTGGATATTGGTAAAGAGGTATTCAAAGGATCACTGGAAAAAGTAAAAATTATTTATCAGCATGGTAAACGACATCTCAAACACCTTTGTGAAAATATCAGCTCCTATACAGTTATCTAGAACTACTTTAAACATGCAGTCAAATCTACATTACTTATACTAGAAAATCTAATAATGAGAAAAAAATATATAATTTTCCTTTGGTCCCCAGTAATCACTGCTTCAAAACCATCAGCTGCACTAAGCACCATTCATTATCTTCTTTCCAACCCAATCAAAACAAGAGTTTACAACACAAGCACTTTTTGGTCTTGTTATTTCCACCTTCTCAAAGGATATATTAATGAACATAAACTCAGTTTTTTAAACAAGTAGGTCCATAAAGTCTCTTTTTACAATAGAATTCTGTCATTAAAGTCTAACAGAATTATGCAAAGAAGAAAAGTACTTTAAAATGCAGGATTGTTTTATTTGTAAACAGCTTTTTTTTTTAAGTTTATAGAACTAGAAATTAATGTGAAAATTCATTTTTAATGATATTGCTGAATTAGCTTCAGAAAACCTCTTATTGAAGCCAATTTTTGAATGAATAAGGAAGAAAAAATGGGTTACTGGTACGCTGGCATTTATCATTGACCATTTTAGCATTTCAGTAAGAGGTTCTACATACTGAAAGACTGGTTTCTTTTCTCATCCCATAGAAGCATCAGATTTGTAATCTTGTGCCAATCTACTAATATACATATATGGTACAAAGGTCATCTCCGCAACCAAAAGCAGAAAAAAAATCATGCTGTGAGGAACAAATCCTTTACACAAATTTGAAAATCAGGACAATTAAACACGAGAAAGCAATTCTATAAAGGGTAGTTTAATTATAAAATTATTTACATTCATGTCATCTTGAGCTTCACATCAACCCATCCAGGGACATTTTGATTGTCATTAGAAAATAAATTTCTCCTTTAAGATGCCATCCACAGAAAACACTTCACAGAATCACACAATCAATTAGGTTGGAAAAGACCTCTGAGACCACTGAGTCCAAACTGTGACCTAACACCACCATGGTCAACTAGACCAGAGCACTAAGTGCCACATCCAGTCTTTCCTTAAACACCCCCAGGGAAGGAGACTCCACCACCTCCCTGGGTAGTCCATTCCCATATCTAATCACTCTTTTTGTGAAGAAATTCTTCCTAATGCCCAACCTAAACCTCCCCTGGCAGAGCTTGAGGCTATGTCCTCTTGTCCTGTCACTAGTTGCCTGGGAGAAGAGGCTGACCCCCACCTGGCTACAACCTCCTTTAAGATAGTTATAGAGAGCAATAAGGTCCCCCCTGAGCCTCCTCTTCTCCAGGCTAAACAACTGCAACTCCCTAAGCCACTACTCAAATGATATGCGTTTCAGACCCTTCACCAGGTTTGTTACCCTGGATTCACTCCAGTATCTTAATGTCCTTCCTGAATTGAGGGGCCCAGAGCTGGACACAGCACTCGAGGGGTGGCCTCACCAGCGCTGAGTACAGGGGAAGAATCACTTCCCTGCTCCTGCTGCCACACTGTTCCTGATACAGGCCAGGATGCCAATGGCCTTTTGGTCACCTTGGCACACTGCTGGCTTGTGTTTGTTCACCTTACATCATAATATTTCCCCCTCCAGTTACATGGTAGTTATGCCTTGATGTTTTTGGCACGGTTCTGGCCCCTTAAAGAAGACATGCAAGAAGGTAGGAGGGGAACTCACACATACTTTAGAGATTTTGTGTACAAGCTATTGTTGGTTGCCTGGCTGGTATTCTCACTGCTTGAAGTTGATCCTAATTCTGGAAGCACAGGCTCTGATCCAAACTCCAAAGCTCCAAACTGAACATTTAATCCTGTCACGTCTGCTGATCCAGGCATCTCCACTGCAGAGGCAGGAATCTTAAAGGAGGAAAAAATCCAATATAATTCCTATGCATGCACAATCTGTATTAAAGATATCAGTAACTGACATCCTCTCATCCCTTAACTACAGGTTTCTTCAGTTACTGCCTCAGCCTTTGATGGTAACTAGATGTGTGACAACCCCCCACTTTACATAAATTAACTACATTCTTGAAACCTGAAATAAATTCATCGATGCTGTCCCCTGATCTGGAGCTGAAACAATAAGTCATACAGTTTTACAATATCAAAGTGTCATCTGTGTCCATCCCCCTCAGCCAATATTCATCTTCTGGCTACTAAGTCAATCCAAAAGTCACACAGCAACAGTCATTTTCCACACAGAGAAATCAGATATATGCTTGGAAAAGACAACACTGTATTTTGAATCTAAAAACTATTCAGCTTTGAATTTTCTGCTTTATAAACAAGAAACAGAATATGGTCTTTGCTCTCCATCTCCCTAGAAACTTGTATATAGAATCATTTAGGTTGGAAAAGACCTCTAAGATCATAAAGTCCTGCCGTTAACCCAGCACTGCCAAATCCAGTACTAAACCATGTCCCTAAGCACCACATCTACATGGCTTTTAAATCCCTCCAGGAATGGTGATTCCATCCCCTCCCTGAGCAGCCTGTTCCAATGCTTGACAACCCTTGCTGTGAAAATATTTTTCCTAATATCCAATCTAAATCTCCCCTGGTGCAACTTCAGTCCATTTCCTCTCGTCACTTGTTGCCTGGGAGAAGAGACCACCCCCCACCTGGCTACAACCTCCTTTCAGGTAGTTGTAGAGAGCAATAAAACCCCCTTGAGCCTCCTTTTCTCCAGGCTAAACAACCCCAGCTCCCTCAGCCACTACTCATTAGATCTGTGCTCCAGCCCCTTCCCTAGCTCCATTTCCTTCTTTGGACTTGCTCCAACCCCTCAATGTCTTTCTTGCAGTGAGGGGCCCAAAACTGGACAAGGGATTCAAGTGTGGTCTCACCAGTGCCAAGTACAGAGGGACAATCACTTCCCCAGTTCTGCTGGTCACACTATTGCTGATACAAGCTTTTGTATGTTTATATGTTTACTAAGGACAAACTCAATTACCCACCTTGGATGATGGAATTATCCTCCGTTTTGGTGGTTTTATCTGCTTCTGCTGGCTTTGGTGGGCAGTCACTGCCTGGTTATCCATAGATATAGTGGAGAGCTGTAACATTTTGTTAACAGCTGTAGAGGTGTCTACTGGTGATGGCTCGTGGAGTTTTACCTGGGAGGAGAAGGACTCCAGCCCAGGAGGAGAAACAGGGACCGCCTGCATTTGTTGTTGCTGTTGCTGGGTCAGATGGCTCAGAACTGGGGAGGGTTCAGGCTGGGATTTCAAGTCTGGTCAGTATTGGGAAAAAGAAATATCAGAATTAAAGCATTGAACTCTATTATTCATGTTTCTACCCTTTTTGAAAGAATATGGGTGACTTGACACACTGGACAGTTACGATTTTATAGAATGTGCAAGTCTCTTTCAGACATCACATGAGTTTCATATTTAATATTACCATTGTAATAATAAGGCCAACACCTGATCACAGAATCACAGAATCAAACAGGTTGGAAAAGACCTCCAAGATCATCAAGTCCAACCCTTGATCCAACCCTACCGTGGTTCTCATACCAGGGCACTGATGCCACATCCAGTCTCACCTTAAACACCTCCAGGGACGGAGAATCCACCCACTCCCTGGGCAGACCATTCCAATGGCTGATTACCTCTCTGTAAAAAATTTTTTCATAATATACAACCTAAACTTCCCCTGGCAGAGCTTAAGACCGATCCCTCTTGTCTTACTACTGATTCCTGGGAGAAGAGACCAACCCCCACCTGGCTACAACCTCCTGTCAGGGAGTTGTAGAGAGTGATGAGGTCTCCCCTGAGCCTCCTCTTCTCCAGACTAAACAATCCCAGTTCCCTCAGCCTCTCCTCACAGGACTTGTGCTCGTGTCCCTTCACCAGCCTCATTGCTCTTCTCTGGACCTGCTCCAGCACCTCAATATCCTTCCTGAACTGAGGGGCCCAGAACTGGACACAGCACTCAAGGGGTGGCCTCACCAGTGCTGAGTACAGGGGAAGAACCACTTCCCTGGTACTGCTGCCACACTGTTCCTGATACAGTCGCAGATGCCATTGGCCTTCTTGGCCACCTGGGCACACTGCTGGCTCGTTCGGCTTCCTGTCAATATTCTCTACTTTAAATAAACAGCTGTGGGCAAGTATTATTCAGAATCATAGAAATGTTTAAGTTGGAAACGACCTCTAAGATCAAGTCCTACCATTAACCCAGCACTGCCAAATCCAGTACTAACCCATGTCCCTAAGCACCACATCTACATGGTTTTTAAATCCCTCCAGGAATGGTGATTCCATCCCCTCCCTGAGCAGCCTGTTCCAATGCTTGACAACCCTTGCTGTGAAAATATTTTTCCTAATATCCAATCTAAACCTCCCCTGGTGCAACTTCAGTCCATTTCCTCTCGTCACTTGTTGCCTGGGAGAAGAGACCACCCCCCACCTGGCTACAACCTCCTTTCAGGTAGTTGTAGAGAGCAATAAAGCCCCCTTGAGCCTCCTTTTCTCCAGGCTAAACAACCCCAGCTCCCTCAGCCACTACTCATTAGATCTCTGCTCCAGCCCCTTCCCTAGCTCCATTTCCTTCTTTGGACTTGCTCCAACCCCTCAATGTCTTTCTTGCAGTGAGGGGCCCAAAACTGGACAAGGGATTCAAGTGTGGCCTCACCAGTGCCAAGTACAGAGGGACAATCACTTCCCCAGTTCTGCTGGTCACACTATTGCTGATACAAGCCAGGATGCCATTGGCCTTCTTGGCTACTGGGCACACACTGTTTCATGTTCAGCTGGCTGTTAACCCATGTCCTTTTCCAACAGTCAGCTTTCTAGCCACTCTTCCCCCAGCCTGTAGCACTGCATGGGATTGTTGTGACCCAAGTGCAGGACCCAGCACTTGGCACTGTTGAACCTTATACAATTGGCCTTGGACCACTGATCCAGCCTGTCCAGATCCCCCCTACCCTCTAGTAGATCAACACTCCCACCTAACCTGGCATCGTCTGCAAACTTATGGACCCAGTCAAAAGTGTACCCATCCAAGCTATGAGTATCCAGTTTCCCCAGGAGAAAGTTGTGGGAGACAGCATCAAAGGCTTTATTAAAGTCCAGATAGACACATCCACAGCCTTTCCCTCATCTCTGTACATGACTCATGATGGCACTCAAGATGATCTGCTCAGTGACCTTCCCCAGCACCAAGGTCAGGCTAACAGGCTAACAGTTCCCCAAATCCTCCTTCCAACCCTTCTTGTGGATGGGCATCACATTTGCTAAACTCCAGTCTTCAGGGACCTCCCTGGTTAGCCAGGACTGCTGATAAATGATTGAAAGTGACTTGGTGAGCACTTCTGTCAGCTCCCTCAGTACCCTTGGGTGGATCCCATCCAGCCCCATGGACTTGTGTGTGTCTAAGTGGTGTAGCAGGTTGCTGACCATTTGACCTTGGATTATGTGGGCTTCATTCTGCTTCTTGTCCCTGTCTTCCAGCTCAGGGGGCCGGGTGCCCTGAGAACAACTGGTCTTGTTAATAAAGACTGAGGCAAAGGCGGCATTAAGTACCTCAGCTTTTTCCTCATCCTTTGTCACTATGTTTCCCCACATGCCCAATTAAGGATATTATCCTTGGTTCTCCTTTTGCTGCTGATATATTTATAGAAACATTTTTTATTGTCTTTTATGGCAGCAGCCAGATTAAGTTCTAGCTGGGCTTTGGCCCTTCTAATTTCCTCCCAACATCCTTGTAGTACTCCAAGTTGCCTGCCCCTTCTTCCAAAGCTAATACACTCTTTTCTCCTAAGTTCCAGCCAAAGCTCTTTGTTCAGCCAGACCTGTGGTCTTCCCTGCCAGTTCATCTTTTAGCACATGGGGACAGCCTGTTCCTGCACCTTTAGGATTTCCTTCTTGAACAACGTCCAACCTTCCTGGGCCCCTTTACCCTTCAGGACTGCCTCCCAAGGGACTCCATCAACCAGTCTCCTAAACAGGCCAAAGTCTGCCCTCTGAAAGTCCAAGGTAGCAGTTCTACTAACCCTTGTCCTCCAAGAATCCAAAACTCTATCATTTCATGGTCGCTGTGCTCATTGGTTAGGAACTTGTAGCCATTACCCCCTATCCTTTAAGTCACCATGTGACTTAAGGAAATCTTCCCTATCATGTGCCTTGTCTACCTGTTGGGCCTGTCCCAGGAAAGGTACAGTTTGGTTCCAGTATTCTCTCTCTTGCACTCCCTGATACTCCTCAACCTACTCACCTCCTCCTGGATCTCTGTCACTAAGCTGAGGAGTTTCTCTACCTGGGCACACCTCCCACAGGTGTGCTCACTACTGCTGTCCAATACTGGCATAAGAGCAGGGCCCACCCTGCAGCCTGACACCTGGGTAGCAGCATGTTCCCACCAGAGCTCTGCCTAGGCAGCTGTTTCAGTCATGGTGGGTACAGAGCTTAGAGAGGCCGTGGCTGTCTGCCAGGTAGATACCATTGCTCCCTGGTTGAGCTGGCAGGGTCTTAGGACCTTTCCTGCATGCCCTCCCTCACAACCTGCCACACCATGCCCTGGCTGAAGTGCCACAGGAGGTAGTTGCCATTACTCATGGCCCTACCCATGCCTCGTCAGCCACTCTCATGCAAGCTGCCAGTCTCAGCGTTCTCCTGAGGTTTCCCCAGCTCAGGACACCATCACCAACACCCCCCTCATAGATCCCCTGCTCTGCTGCAAAATGCACCTGCACCAGAGCTGCTTACCTTGGCTTTCTTAAAAAATATAAAATCAAACCTACTCATGTAACAGTATCACACATTAGATCTCAAAAACTGTTATAAATTATTTTAGTCAAACACTGCAAGTTTCACTGCAACTAACTGTGCCAATAAAATGTGACAATTTCCAAGGGTCTGGAGTTGCAATTTAGTGGTATTATGAGTTAGGGTTCCCCTGCCCCTACAAATGAGATTTTCAACACAAATAGGAAGTCATCTATTATCTCAATATGGATGAAAGTCAAGAGACGCTGGATACTGACAGTTTTTTTTCCCAAGACTTCCCCTTTCATATTTTCAGATACCGAAAGTGTCTTAGAGCACCGGTCAACAGCTGTAAGAGATCCACAGCATTTGCAGTGTGAAGGTTTTTTTATCCAGTTGAAGTACATTAGAAAGAAACATAAAATGTACATAAACAGTTTTTCAGAATTTCTGCATGTCAAAGATTATAACTGCTACCAAATTGTGTGCTTATCTATCTGGAAGCATACACACAAGAGAGATACAAGACCTATCACTTTTCACAGTGAGAATAGTGCTAGGAACTACACTGCAAAAACCAAGTTTGTGTCATTTTTACTCTTTCAACTAATTTTACTGAATTAAATGAAAAATCCATACAATTATGAATAGACAAAATACATCATTTAACCTACATCATTTTCAGCACACATAGACTTCACACTAGGGAAAGAACACTGAGATGTGATGCACATTATGAAGAAATTATATAGGACTCATTCAAAATTCATGGAATGATTAGAAGAGAACAAATTGGGGAAAAAGACAAAATATGGTACAACTTAGAAGCAACATAGGCACACTGGAAATGGGTATTTTCCAGGATTTGTTGAGAAAAAAGTGTGCTGGTATGGCTGGGGTAGAGATTATTTTCTTCCCAGTGGTTGGTATGGGGCTGTGTTTTGGATTTGTGCTGAACAAAGGGTTGATAATATAGAGGTGTTTTTACTATTGCTGAGCAGGGCTTGCACAGAGCCAAGGCCTTTTCTGCTTTTTGTACTGCCATGATGGGAAGGGGGCTGGGGTGTGTGGGAGGTTGGGAGGAGACATAGCTGGGACAGGTGACCCCAACTGACCAAAGGGATATTCCAGACAATATGGCATCATGCTCAGTGTATAAAGTAGGGGGAAGAAGGAGGAAAGGGAGGACATTTGGAGTGATGATGTTTGTCTTCCTGGGTAACCGTTGCACATGATAGGACCCTGCTCTCCTGGAGATGGCTGAATACCTTCCTGTCCATGGGAAGCAGTGAATGCATTCCCTGTTCTGCTTTGCTTGTGTGCATGGCTTTTGCTTTGCTGTGTCAGGAGAGCCTACCCCAATCAGACCTAAAATCCAATCAGAGAATGCATACAATGCGAGCTATCATGCAAGTTCAACTGCTTCCGCCAAGGTGTCTTGGTGTCTTGCTGTCTTGGTGTTGATTATACTAAAACCAGCCTGGTTCACCAGACTTTGAATACACATCCTGCTGTTGAAACAGGATTTGACAGATAAGCTGGTAGCTGGCCTGTAAATTTGTGTGACTAGCAGTTAATCACTTTATACTATAAAAGTCCAGTCCCCTTTCATACGGTCAGGTTGTTCTAACATAGCCCTTCTTGGAGTGTATGTGAGGAGATTCCTCCCTTGGCTGGGGATGCCCTCCAAGGATACTCCTCGAGGTTAAGAGAAAGATCTCCACATGTTGTTGGTCTGGGTGAGTTACATCAGATCTCTACTTAATAATTATTTCTTTTTGCTAGCTTTACTATAATTGCTTCAATATAATGCACTATCATCCTATCTTATACTATACTACTAGTAGTTTTAGCATTTATATTGCTGTGTAGTAAATAATTCTGATTAAGATCTTTTGTCTGATCATTTGTAATAATAAATTATTCATTTTATATAAATATTCTCCTTTTGTTAATCAATAAAACCTGTGGGACAAAAATGGTTCAATCACACCTCTGTAATTCTTTAAATTTAAACTGTTGACATAATCTGAGGCTAACATAGGATTCAGCTGTACCTAGGCTCCTCTCTGAGCAGGGGTTTTGAAAGCAAGGGATTCCTTTCTGCACCTCCTGACTCAATGGTAGGGCTTTTATAATAAATTTTGTCAAAGCCTTTCACTCCCACACGAGACATTTCCCTATTAAAATGTCTTTATCTCAACCCACGAGTTTTCCAGCTTTTACCCTTCCAGTTCTCTTCCAGATCCCACTGGTGGGAGAGTGAGCAACTGGCTGCATAGGGCTTGGCTGCTGGCTGGGATTATACCACAACACAAAGTCACATCAAAGTTCCACTTAAATATTCAAGCATATTAAATGAAAGATGTCACTACATGAAGGCTCAACAACCTCTAAAGATTCAATGACATTTACAGATAGGCTTAAGCCTATCAAAACTTAGTTTGTGATATATTCGTAATGTCTATTACCAGCTACTAAGTGTAACACTTACAATGCTGTAACCAATTACATTACTAGAATTACGTGTTTTTAAAAAAGCTTTTCATTTAAGGCCATTTTAAACCGTTATTTGCTTTAAGAAATCTTATAGGCTAACAGAGAGAGAAAGCTATGTCAAAGCACTTACCAAACTGAATAAGGACTGAGGACTGAGTAATGGGTGGTTTTAGATCCCAGGATGATGTGGTAGTGGTGGTAGAAGTATTATTGTTTTGTTGAGAGGTAAACTGACGCAAACCTGGAGATTTCAATTGGTCCAAGATTTGAGATCCAGCAGAGTTTGTCAATTTAGAGGACCCAAGTTCACCAAAGCCAGAACAAAGAACTGCAGACTACCAAAAGACACAAAAAAATAAATTAAAATAAGAACAAACGAGAAAGAGTGGAGGTGTGTATTTAATTAATAATGTGAACATAACCATAGGGTCAATGCCTACAGTTGGTATTTATCAGCAACCAAAACCTCTTCAGTCCTAGATTAATAATAAATCACAGAATGACAGAATTGTTAGGGTTGAAAGGGACCTCTGGAGATCATCCAGTCCAACCCCCCTGCCAAGGCAGGGTCAGCTGGATTAGGTGACACAGGAATGCGTCCAGGTGGGTTTTTAATGTCTCCAGAGAAGGAGACTATGACCTCCCTGGGCAGTCTGTTCCAGTGCCCCCACCCTCAATGGAAATAAGTTCTTCATGTTGAGGTGGCACTTCTTGTAGTTTAGTTTATGACCAGTAAAAAAATCAACAGTTGGAGCATATGACCAGATCCTCTCTGGTTGTCACTTCCATCACTGATTACAAGAATACTTATTTTCTGTAACCATACATCTCAAAATAGCATGCATTTACTAATAGTTGCATTTATTCTCTGAAAATCAGTTCTAGTACCCAATTTCAAGCCCTCACAATTAAATCAGAAATAATCAGATTTTCACAAAAAGCAGTCAGATATGTGCTTGCAAATAACACATCACAGTTTTCTGGCATAGAACTCTTCACTATAAACAAGTGATTTCATCCCAAATATGCATGCAGTAAATGCATCTGCTCTCTACTCAAAAATTAACACAAGTACTTCATGTGAACCAAGAAACAACTACTTAGCAAAACCAGACAGAAAAAATAATCTTTATTTTGTGTGCGTGTGTGGAAGCAATAGAATTAATAATTCCTTAAACATCTGCAACCTGAATTTTATAAATACTGAAACATCTCATGAAATTATCAGTACTGGAAAAGTTATTTAACCTGAAATATTTACTCATGAAGAATATTTAGAAAGTATAAAATAATTTTACCAGACTTTGAGGAGAACAAGACTTTACAGCACTGGAGCTGCACCTTCCTGATGCCACTTGGTTGCTGTGCTGAGAATTTGTGAAGACTAGGGCTTGGCCAAAGGTCTGCTGCTGGGGAGCCTCAAATGAGTTGCCTTCTGTCTCTTGGGTAAAGGTCACAGGCT